TGCAGGCTGGGAGCGGCCATGCACCCAACTCCTCTTTGGATGAAAATAAGAAAAATAAAGCAGATGTTAGCTTTATGCATGCATTTATTGCTGCCCTTAGTATGATCATTGTTACAGAGCTAGGAGATAAAACCTTCTTCATAGCTGCAATTATGGCAATGAATCATCCAAGGGTAACAGTGTTTGCTGGAGCAATGTTTGCGTTGACAGCTATGCATGTTATGTCGGGTAAGTATGAGATTTTCTCAGTTTCTAGTTCAGTGTCTTGTCTTTGCTTATTAACGTGTTCATACACAGTATTCCCTCGTTTTAGAGGATATAAGCTCATTAGTTCTTGCCATTAACCTAATTGATTCGTGGTCAAACACATGGGTGCCTTTCTTCGGTGGGCATATTCTCAATGTCATGGGGATATTGTCAGGTATGGATATCTGTTAAACCATAAAAAGCTTTGCCTTTATCATGTTTCTTTATTAAGAATGTCTTGAGGGGTTATCATACCAGGGATAGAATTTCCTCTGCTTTCTAATATTCTTTGGAAATATAGTCAGCTTTTTTCAACTAGTAGAGAGCAGCATGTGTAAACTGAAAGAACTCGGAAGTAATTTGATATCAACATTACTTAAATCCGAGTTTTTTCATCTGAGAATTTTAAATCGGCTTAAGCTTTTTTAAAATAGCCTTAAAAATTTTATTGCTTTTTATTGAATTTAAAAGTTAGCCTTTATTTATTTATTTTTTTATTTTTTTTTGTCATCATGAGTAGAAATGAGAATATTGTGAGAGGTCCCATGGAAAAAGGGAGTTGACAGAATTGCGTGTATGTAAAAAAGAATGTAGATGAAAATTTATCCCTGTATATTAATGCCATTAAAGGAGGGGATACGGTTTTACATTGCAGTAATAAAAAAGACTCTGCCTATGTTTCAAACAGATTTTTTTCTTCTTCTTCTTTTTCACACCAAATGATGACCATATAATGCTATTATATCTTAAATTTACCACAATATTTGAGCTTCAAAAAAGTGAGTTTTATTTGCCTAGGTAAAAATTGGATCTTCTATAAAGCCCGGAAGAAATTATTTTTAATTTGAAAACCTTCACTCACTTCAAGCTTTGCATAAATGGGAAAATTTGGTCCAGAGACAAGGAAGGATTCCAATATGTCTCCAGAATCCTTTGGTCTGAAGTACAGCATTAGTCTTAAACTAAGGGAGTCTTAGGCCGAAGCAACTGATTATCTGGTCGATTGTTTATGAGAAATTACCGCTTTCAGGAAGAGTGAGGTGCGAGCCATAGGCCAGAGTGCTCCAGAAGGAAGCGCACACCAATGGCATACAGTTGGTACTAGTGGGTGGGGAAAAAAAAGAAAGAAAAAAAAATGGGTGTATAGATAAACAAAGATTGTGCTATAAAATTTGTACCCAAGGGTTCCCATGTTGCAAGCTGAAATATGGCACTGTGCAGCTGTTGATTGAAAGTGGGAGTCTTGAAAAATCACCAAGAGTAGTCACATGCATTAGTATTTAGTGCTTGAAAGGAGCAAGCCGTCTTGTGTGAGTTGCACTAACCTGCCAAACAAGAATTTGTCACTCGTTTACTCACAGATTCTTTTGTAGCTCCATCACTCTCTTCCACCACAGTGCTGCTACACTTTTGTTTCTTTCTGTTGAAATGTTTTCAAGTTGCTGCATGACGGTGTTGCTTCACAGAATGCATGGTCAGTCATAAAGGTGCAATGAGAAAAATATTTGCAGTGAAAATGCCTCTAAAACGGTATCCCCCCTTAAAATCGTCTTGACATCAATGCAATCACTATGAAAAGTGAAGTGTCTGTATGAGATAAGGACAAAATATGCACAGTTTAACATATTATTATTCTTGTATCCACAGCTTTGTTTGGGTATGTTATTACGTGGATCCCACGAGTGTACACTTTCTATGCTTCAAGTGTTCTTTTTGCCATATTTGGCTTAAAAATGTTACGTGAAGGCTGGAAAATGAAACCGGAGGAAGCACAAGAAGAATTTGAGGAAGTCCAGATGGATCTGAGACGCAGAGATGATGATGTGAGTTAATTTTTTATTATAACAGGTGTATGCACTGCCACCCACACCAAACACCCATAACCCACACCCATGCCCTCACCCTTAGCTTTACCCACGCCCTCACAATCACCCTCACCCACACTCTCACTCACATTCACACTCACTCACAATCGCACCTAGCTATCCATTGTAACTTAGATTTTCTCTGCATAAATTGGACACATTGAAGAATCTATGTTTCACCCTTTGCCAATAGTGCTTGGTTGTATTATATCCTGTCCTAACTCTTACATTCTGGCATAGGTACAGTCTCTGATCATTATATCTACCCTTTCAGTGAGACCTATTTTCAGCAAATACATAATTTTTATTCAGTTAGCCATTTGTTAGTGGTTGGCATTGGGTATAATGCCATGGCAAAGCTGGGCCTCAGCATAATGCTACACTCTGCT